TTTGAGTGATCAAACCAAATTCCAATCTCTTGGTGTTTTCAAAGACCGTAATGTAAGAGAGGAGAAACTGTAACAACAGAAGACAAGGACCCGGCAACAGATCGTTTATTATGGAACTCAACACGTATTTATATATTTTTTGTACATTATTATAGCTTATTCAAGCAAACAAACACAGTCTTCTGATTGGTTGTTTCTCACAGAAAGTTAACTTGCATCTCTTTGTGACTGTTTCTTGAATGTCAGATCATCTCTATGTTAACTGTATCTGCCTATGCAAAGTCTGCTGTGGTTGGTTGTTGAATCAGTCTTTGTTCATATTTATTCACGACCAATATTTGGGACATAAACATTGACGTAAATTAATGTGTACTAAATTGGCTAGCAACCTGCTCTCACCACAAAACTAATGACCGACTCCCTCAAAAAACTGAACCAAATAGCAGTATTATCATCAGTCACGTATAAGTCCATGAAACCAACGGGTACCAATACTCCACTTCCTTACTGTCTACCTAAATAGCACAAACCAGGTCTTCCTCTTCGCCTTTTTTTAGATAGGTATAACTCTCCATTCCACGGAACAACGAAATGTTTAGTGAAGATTCTGGGTCTTTTGCACAGAGAAATCGTGCAACATCGAATTAGTGATGCCTTCGGCATTATTTAGAAAACATTCGAGACTAATGTGAGGTATAAACGCATGTTATCCATGGATGTACCATCACTATTCACTATTGTACTGCTTATGGAAACAGTAGATTATATTTGTGAAGAACTCACCGAAAGGTAATCAAACTTAGGCTTTCCCTTGTGTAGCCTCAAAGAATTACTTCGTAAATGCATAGTGAATGTTCACTTTGTCTTCAATATTTAATACTACCGACAAGTAGATGGAATAGCTATGAGTTTACCATTAAGCCCAAAATTAGCTTAGGAGGAAAGTGCGGGCGTAGGGCTAACCACCTCTTTCCATAAAAAAAACCTCACAGTTACTGCAACTACAGCGATTTACGTCACTGTATGCGTCCCAAATCTAGGTCACCAGAAAACACGATACGAGGGCTTAATCTTGAGGAACGCAACAATCAATCACAATAGATCTTGTGTGAGCGAATACTATTCGCAGATTCATCACCAGGCTGTCCAGGAAACGGTAACAAAGAGATGACATAATAATCTTCAAAAAACCACCAAACAGAATACGTTACTTCTCTACTTACAATAACGAATAGTAATCTACATGAAAATCTATAAATATCTGTAGATTTTCATAACAAACGATCTGTTTCCCGGCCCTTGTCTTCTGTCTTTACACTTTTTTCATATGCGCTATCTCTGTTCCCATTAGACCGTTCTTATCCTTGACAGACTTTTAAACTATTCCCACTAGATACACATCTCGTGTTGTTACTTTTTTGGAAACAAGCAGCACATTCCCTTTCATGTAGTTATCATGTCTTGAAAACCACTTGTGGCGAACCTTTTATAATAGGACATATTCTCTTATACGTATACTCCAGAAAGTATTAGTTGTGCATTTCACTTGTCTCCAACTTTCATAATACCTGCTCACAATAATCTCTCTGTTGTCAGACCAACACAGTCTATCAGCAACAGGAGGGTATTAGGCATTGGAGATAAGTTATCTTTTTCATCTGACGCCATCGAAACAGTTGAGCGGTTATTAGGAATTCTTTCATCTTCTACAAAACAGGCCGCTGAAGTTTCATCGTGCAAGTTCTGCTCCTTAGAAGTCATTAGCATCAGTCTGTGAACCGAGCCTATCCTCCCTACCGAAATTCCACCCTGGTGGGTGACAAATGGAGGATTGAAATGCTATTGTATACATCTGGATGTCATGAAGTTATTTACCTTCTGCTTATTTTACACGTCCATATAACTTTGTAACTCAGGGACCGCTCCAACGAAATTCAATTTATTGTCATTGTAGATTTCTGTTGGCGTTCGTCTTCTTCCTATGAAACGCATCAAAACCATTATGAAGGTATCAGCATTCAAGCTAAAAGCCAACGCTGATAGAATAACTCGTGTTTGAAGAAGTCTAAATATGAAGCCGTATCTCTCTTCTCCACTCCTCTCATGGAAAACAAGTGACGTTCCGAAATAGTCGGCCCCTACTAAGTGAAAAGTGAAATCATGCCTTTCTCACACAGTAGTCTGGAAGAGGCGCTATCATTTGTTAGGCTGAACTGGCATTTAGGCGTCTACACGTCGTGCATTTTCCAACCACTCGTCTAACAGTACTAGCGCCTTAAATTTGCCAGAAGCGTTTATGAATAGCAGCTAACATTTGTGACCTAGCTGAGTGTCTTTTTAGTTGGTGATAGTGTCGAGTGGTTAATTGGGTTACAAAACGATGACTAGGTAAAATTTTCTGATGTTTGAAAGAAAACGAAAAGTAAGAATAATTTATTCTGCTGCCAACGCAAAGTAATCCATCAATCGGCACTGGAGACAATTTCTGAAATTCCGTCGTCTTAGGCGCTGTACTGCTTTCTTCTTCTGGAGGCTCTTAAAACAGTTTGTCATGTGATTCTCTTCGTATCAATGACAATGTTTTGCGTTTGGCTGCCTGTATTTCTTCGAATGTTGACTAAACAGTGTTCAAGAAATAATCTGGTGATGAGTATGTAAAGTGATGCATGATACAGACAGACAGAATACGATTTCATCAAAGTCATCCAATTCGAGTAGTAACGCAATAGTATATAAAGGTTCTATCCGTGGTACTCAAAGCAACTCATGCGGATTTCTTTACAGAAAATACGTATTTGCCTGCTTAAACTGTGTTCTATAATTATCATAATGAAAATATTAAAATTATTGAAGAGCTATTGACATCCCGTAGCGCTGAAAGCGCTCAATGAATTCTCGAATTTCATCAGTCAAATAATATTTAGAACCATTTCACAGTTCAGCAGAAGCATTAAAAATGGACTCAGAGACATCAGTGGACTTGATAACACCACTACTAAAGAAGGTGTGGAAAGAGGGAAAGGTACCTGTGGATTGGAATAAAAGCTACTTATTCAAACTGCCAAAGAAAGGGAACTTAAGCTAATGTAAGACCTGGCATGGAAATAGGCTCTTGTCAATCCCAAGCAAAATACTAAACCGCATCATCTTGGAGAAAATCAAAACACCTGGATGAAAAACTTCGACCGGAACATGCTGGATTCAGGAGAAACAAGTCATGCATCGATCAAATCGCCACACTACGTATCATCATTAAACAAAGCTTTGAATGGCAGTCAGGTCTCTTTCTCAACTTCATTGACTTTGAAAAGGCATTCGACAGCGACGGTCGAGAGGTGCTTTGGCAACTAATTTGCTACTGCAAGGGGTGACGCCAACAATTATACATCTCATCCAACAGTTGTACGACAATGCTGCATGGCAAGTAATCCACAACGGGAAATTCACGGAATCCTTCGAAGTAAAGACGCGAGTAAGACAAACTGCTTACTATCTCCAATGATTTTCTTGACTGCTGTAGACTCGATAATGCGAAAGACAGCGGGCACCGAAGAAACAGGCATAAAATGGAACCACACAAAATACCTGGAGAATCTGGACTTCGCCGATGTTATGTCTGATTTCCCACAAACTGGAAGATATGCAAGTGAAAAGCAACAGGTTGGCGATAGAAGAAGCATCAAAGATAGGACTCTAGGTGAAACAGAGGAAACAAAGGTGATGAAAATTCCTGGTTAACAGCAACGGTAACAACAACAGACAAATCAGCATAAATGGGAGAAAACTGAAAGAATCAACCTCTTTTATCTACCTGTCTACCTAACGGGGAAGCATTGTTTCAACTACAGTCGGACGGACTGACGAGGATATCAAAGCAGCGAGTACTGGGAAAGCAAGGAAGCTTTCATTTCTCTGAAGTTTGTGTGGAGGTCATCAGGACTAACTCAGCATGGAAATGAAAATAAGAACCGGATTTTAACTCCAATGTGAAATCAGGGCTACTTACTATTCGTACGATCGGAGACTTTGCGCCGCGCCGCGTCACGAAGGCCTCTTTGAAAAACCTACAGACCTTTGTTAACAGCTGTCTTCGCTCAGTACTTCGCTCAAGATCAGATGGCTGGCCAAAAAGATCAGCAACAGGGATCTCGTCAGTGAGCGAACCAACCCAGCAAGAACCAATTGTGCAACATATAATGCAGAAAGAAACGGAGATGGAGTGGCCATACTCTTAAAAACAAACCACCAAGTGACTTCACTTGCCAAACCATCGCTCGACTGGAACCCAAATGGAAAAGGAGAGCTGTTCGTCAGTGTGAGGTTGGAGTGACATGGAGGAGGTCATGTGAGGGGGAGATGAATGCATATGGGCAGACGTGGAGCCAGGTGAAAATGTCGGCGATGAAGCGAACGCAATGGAGACGTTCAGCTGAAGCCCTATGTTCCTCTATGAATTAAAGGAAACAATAATAATAAATACAGTTCAGCCTGGATAAATTTCAAGGTGTAAATTCACTTCGGAAATCTTGAAAACATTGAAACTCTTTCAGAAGCGTGTATATTCCAGTTCACAACTCGATTTACATGCATTTCTACAGACAAATGCAGATTCAAATAAATGACAGTTCGTATTGTGAGAATATTATCACTAAAGTCCTGGGTTCGAACGCAGTAGCTCGTGTTTTTCACTCCTATTTCACTTATTGACGCTAAGAAATCTCTTTTCACCTTACTCTAAGACAAGTCGACTCAGTACGAGTTATTTAGACAACGATTTTGGTGAAGGCATTACCAATGAAAGAACAAAAGGATCATTGGGGATTAATCACTGTTGTCCACACGATGACATAGAAGTTCCACGAGGAATATTAGAGAATAAAACTCAATTTTTATTCTATGCTTTGCAACTATGCTTTATTCATTTGAATAAAATATTATTAACACTATAAAAAGTAAAGACTAACATAAAGCAGAAGATATTTAAGGTAATTCTTTGTGTTCACTGTAGCGTATTCTTTTAAAATCTAAAACAGGGAAGTAAGATGAATTATTGAAACAAAACATTACAAAAATTTAGTATACAATGTGTTAAATGCATCATGAAGCAGACTTTTAAACTAAAAATTTATTTGAAGAGATTGGATTGCGTTGCATTGAATTAACGCAAACGTGTTCCCTGAAAATACCCCGCTTATAACAATATAGTTTCCATTGTAAATTGGTTGCCTTAGGATGTTTAAACAATTGTTGAAGTATTTTTTATGAATGGTGACTGTCAGTGTAATTCAGAACGAGTGTTTCGTCCCATCAGGCAGTCGTCATCTGGACGTAACTGCATTCTCCCCTGAGTGAGGATGGACACAATGAAACTCAAACTCACTAGTGTCCATCGTTTCAAACATCAAAGCTTGGATGAGTCCTAAATAGGACGAAATGTGCATTCTGGATTCCATTGTTAATCACCATTAACTAAATTACTTCAAAGTTAATCATCAGATGTCATCGAATCTTCTGTAGTGGGGGCCGACATGTCAATTAATGCATACCGTTATAGCCTAATCGATCAACTAACAGGAAAATCAAAATTGAGCAAAGTTAACTTATCATAACCAAAACCATAGTAACCTTGAACGAACTGTCAGAACTCAGATACAAAAATGTTGCATAATTAATGAAAAATACGTTAAAAAGCATAGTTGCAGCTTATTTGTTGTAAGAATGTCTCACAGTCAATACACAGATGATCTATAGAGAAATCGTACCATGTGCTCATCCAGGTGACTGCAGATTATGGTACTTTGAGATCGGTTGATATTTCCAACACTATTCTCCCACCTAATCTTGACTCCAACCGTTTGTCCTAACTCCTGATCCTAAATTCAACGTTTGAAAGTCCTTGACTCTGGCTATGATACTTCAACTTCGACACCCAGGTCACGTTTCAGGTCCTTTTTGTTAATGCTGACTGCATTCTGTCAGTGCCACCATTGAGTGACGCAGGTTCCAATTTCTGTGAGGACATTGAAATCCTTCAAGATTTCAGTTATGATTTGATGACAAGTGCCAAAAAAAGACAAAACCTAGACAGACAGCACTCTGACGAGTGCATCTAATCATCCTATACCAATTAAAAAATATATGTTATGAAGTTGGTCATACTCTAATCTACTTTTTCTCATTAGAAAACTGTTTAACACATTTTGTTTTGAGGCAGAGGAGTCTGAATCTCCTGGCTAAGATATTCATATGTATCAGGATAACGATGTCAAAAAGTTTAGCTCATGCATAATTCCGTTAATTTGTTCCTCATACTGGATAATTTGATGAAAAATCATTAGAAGAATAATTAGTTTAACAGCTTTGGCAATAATCCAAAAGAGAAATTTCACGATCCTTTCAAGAAGTTTGTAGGAAATATCATTCAGCACTAATACTTCTCACAGAACTGTGAGAATTCACCCCACCTTCTTCCTGAATGGCTTGACAAGGTGAATTCAAACTACAGGACAACATTTAGCTAGATCGCTCTCGTTTTAAAGGTATCCCATTGGAAGTCTTAACCTGATGAAGATGCTTCTTACATTATAAAACTTTTATAATTTCTTTGGCAATTACGAAATAAATCTAATAAATTTTCGACACGCACGGTGATACTGGTTTGAAAGCGAGAAAACAATTACAGACTCACCAACATTTAAATAATTTACTAATGTCAACTTACTTAGTGAAAAACGTTCATTAATGTATTCGCATACTTTTCAAATGTTTTGAAGCACTAAAACACATTTTGAAAAAGAAAACAGATTTCGACTAAAATGAGCTCGAAATGAAGTTTATGTGTCGGTGGTTTAGTGGCAGAATCCTTGCCAACCGCGTACCTACTCCGGATTCTAATCTTAGCCTATGCATTCTCAAATGTTACTTATCCGATGGTAAGCGCCGTAGTGAGCGAGCGCTAGGCATGAGGCTAACAACTTTACACTCCGTTAGAATGACACCATCGCTATAAAAACGTCGGAGCTCAGGCTTGAAACCTTCTGTTCTACTTGGAATGCAAGGGGAATGAGAAAAATTGGAGTTTCACTTTTAATTCCAAATCACCAAATAATATCTAGCTGGTAATTAGCATTTGCATATTTTTGGTTGAATCGTTAACTCGAAGTTACTTCTTTTTGAATGAGGCTAACAGGTGAAGTCAGAATACGCGTTGTATTCTATTTCAGATTCTCCGACCAGTATACAGAAATAAGTTTGATCAATTTTCTCAGAGAAATCAACAGAAAATCACGTAAATTAATAAACAGTTTCAAATTATACTCGCTGCACAATAGGTGGGTCGCGTAACCCTTTAGCTCAGTTACTAATGAAGCGATTGGTACTGGGCTTCAGTCTGTCTAGGAACTTCACACCTCATAGGGGAGCAGGTTCATCCAATTGACGGGTTCCAAACACGAGGAAAAGTGCGTCCAAGATTCTTCTGCTACCTACCATCAAACAAATAACTCCCAGTTATTTAGTAGTGAAGCGTCAGTTCAAGTAGTCCACAAAACAGGTACACGGTAAGTGGATTCAGTCAGATATTATCAAAGGAAAATGAAGAATGTGAATCAGTAATCGAGGCGTTAACCGTTTATTGAAAGACTGGATGCAGTTTTGAGTCAACATTCTAGTGGATTCCTGAGCTAACCTACTTGACTTCATACTTTTCAGTTAGTTGGTGAGGAGAATTTTCGTGATATCACTGCAGACGCATGTAGTAGAATCGTATAATCCAAGTCGGGAAATCACCTGAAAACACTGGTATAATCACGCAAAATGATGAATAGTTCTCGAAAAGTCATCCAGTTATTAGCACTGTATACGACAGTGTGCTATATTAAATATGCTCATCTGATGTGGAATCAAAGTGTAACGGTCGATTGATATCAAACTAGGACAAAAAGGCTGTCCAGTAATCCCTGGACTTCAGAGGTTTTCTAACTGATAACAATCCGTGATTAGACTGAACAAAAATCCCTGAAAACTAACTCTTGGAAGTTAATCTGGCTATAGGAGTTCTGGTAAGAAGTCGCGACAACTGGTATCCATTAGGTCGAACGTGAGATTGAATACTCACCGATGACGCTGGTTGGTGGTCACAGTAAAATCACCAATTGGGGGAAGTTGGGATTCATGGGTCTCTGGTAGCTGAATGGTTTGCGAACTCGCCTTGTAACCAGAAGGTGCTGTGCTCGAATCCGGTGGGTGTGTAGTGATGGAGAGTCCCGAATTGGGGAGAAACAGCAGTCCATTAATTCTTGATTTTTAGTGGTTCCCTAACTGAGATCATTCAGTGATCAGAACTGATATCTTTTGAATTATTTGGTGGCACTAAATTCCTTGAAGTGAAACTGAAATGAGATTTGGTTCGTTATGATTTGATGGACAGGTAGGAGTGACACATGTACTGTTTTCTACACTCAGTGAATAACAGATAATTCTGTTATTTATAGTGTACTTATTTTTGATTACTGTTTGTGAATTTGTGAAGGTAAATTATCTAAAAAATAAGTCCATTTCTGATAAGAATTAGCTTGAATTGTGTTGAGCACCGAAGTAATTCCAACAAAATGGCTTAAAATATTTCCTTAATGAGTTATTTGCATTATTAACTAAGTAAATGGAGACTGAGTCAAGCTAGCCCTATTCAGTGGGCTCCTAATCAATAATAAAAAGAAATTGAATGCATAATAATCGCCTACTGCATGACTTAATTTTAAACAAAATTTGAAAAATGTCTCATTAGAAGCAGATATCGCTCTTTAGAAGTTTCATTGTAATTTTCTACCTAGAGAATATAAGTTTCTCTGACAATGGACTCTAGAATGATAGTTAAATGAACCAGATCAGAGGACTAAACAACGTCTAATCTACAAGTGACCTCCATTGCAGGGAGATTGTGTCTTGCGAAAGGAGTTTTAAAGGAATGAGGAGAATCGATCATTTTCTGAGTGAAGAGTTTGATGATAAATTAATATTGGATCATATCGTTGCCTTTATAGTATCATTTTGTAGGGATTTAGCTGCTTTCGAATTTGCTCATGAAATGATATCAGTTAGAGAACCATTGAAATCCAGGTGGAGTCGACAAGTTTCGAATTCTCACTAGAATTTCAAATACTCTCCGATGATACTGCCTGGTGCTAAAAGTAACGAAGTGACAGAAGTGTCAATTTATGAGCCTTCGGAGTCTGTCTTAGCGGCTGAATGGTCATTGAGCTTTCCTCGTAACCTGAAGACAATGGGTTCGATCCTGTGCGGTGTCATGGATACGCATCGTTGAAGTATTCCAAACTGTGATGAAAAAGCTTTCCAGTCAGCGCCTTCTGGTTTTCAATGGCTCTCCAACTGATATCGATCCGTTACAACACTTGAATATCATAAACTACTAGATAACGTGCTTGTGATTTACGTACTTGCATTACATACGTGCGAAAAGTCTACGAAGAAAAGTGTACACTTACTTGTTTATCAGAAGAGCAAATTTCTTCGATTGTCTCTTGAATGTAATCTTGTGTAAATGTGAATTTCAAGTGTTCTTTGAGTGTATTGAATATCTGCAACATGGCACTGTCAACTGCGAAAAGAAGTGACACAAAGTTATGTCCGGTATAAAATACAATCGGTAATGCGTTCATTTACAGTCATAATTTAACTAAATTAACTTGTTTGTACCAATAAGTACTTCATTAGAAGTTGAATGATGTATACAAAAGTCTATCTTAAATTGAAAACATTGAATATAGTGAATGGAAAGCGCCAGTTTCAATTTGTCTTAGCTACGTGACTGTAGAATTCACTAAAGTGGTAAATAAGTAGAAAAATTCAAAGGATGATCAACGACTGACTGCTGAGAGTGGCACGGTGATGCAGAGTACAAGGTTTAATGAACTTGAAGATCCTCGCGTTCCCCATCATTCAGGGTTTATAAGGTTGTCTATATTGTCTGTGTCACTGCGTTAGATAGCCTGTTTAATGTCTCTTTTCAGGATATTTAGTAATCAGAATATTTATTTTTCCGAAAATTAATTAATTTCCAGATTAGAATTTTCGTCAGGGGATCATGTTCATGATATGTTCATTGTTATAACTAATGTGACTTCCTAGATATCTATGAATAACAGTCTTACTGTAATTTAAAATGAAGCGCTACAGTGATTGTCTTTCTTCGTAAAGCTATGCAACATTGTTTGATTGAGATAAGTAACTGCATACTGTCCTTGTCAGCCAGTAGTGCTTGATAACCAGATTGATGTGACGTAAACATTGGACGGCAGGTGTCACGAGCCGTGTACTAGATTTGACTCAGCTCAAAGATCCGTATCAGTTGAAACCTCCCAATTATTACTCAGGTAGATAATGGTAGGTGATTTTAAATTATTACATAACCCACTTCCTGTCAGTTAATGAATGGATGCCTCTATTTTGATAAGAATCGCAGGTTTCTCGCCCTGTGTTATCATCCAGTCACATATGTGACGCATGAATTAACAATCTACTTAGTCATCAATTGAGAAGTTAATTGATGGATGGTGACTAGCAGTGGAATCCAGACTGCACGTTTCCTCCTATTTGGGACACTTCAGATGAATGTGCCTGCATTCCGCAGTGATTGATGAGTCCCAGCAGTAACATCATCATTCACTGTGGAATGCAGGAGCATCCAGCTGATGACGAAGTGTGCATCCTGGATTCCACTGCTAGTCACCATCCTCTAATTAACTTCACTTTACATGCCCAGACATCGTCGAAGTAACTGCACAAGGAGCCAACATGTCAATCTGAGACCGAGCACTTCGGTCCAATCAATCGACGGGAAAATGTAAAATAATCAGTAATCTGTTTAAACTACATAGAACTGTGAAATATTAATATTGAACAAGTGGTCATTCTATTTAACTCATTTGTCAAACTGTCTTCATTCAACCACTCCAAAGGATATTGAAAAACTAACCAGCAATAAGTGAATATTGATCCTCGTTTGAAAATATTCACAGTCTTGTTTTAACTCACAAAACAGTTACGTGACACATTTGAATAAAATAACTTACAAGATGAATCATCTTCATTCATCGTTTCATATTGTTGAGTAGACATACTCCGATGTACTGTAGGCAAAAGTAAAGAAGTGATAATGATTATAATATAGCTCTTAGATGATTGGAGGCAATAGACAGGAGACCTTTGTTGAACCTAGATTTCATGCTTATTGGCATCAAAAGTTAACTTGGCGTATCACAACTCTCGTAGGAATTCATTTACCTTCTGATGTTCAAACCAGTGTTGTGGCATTTGCTACTTACAAGATTTATCAGTAGCATATAGAGAGACGTTAATCAATATAAAAACATCAAATAACAGGGAGATGGTTATGATGTCAGAGAAAGCGAATGATACAGCTTTGCGAAGATATATGGGAGATGATGTGAAAGAAACACAATGAAACACAATATGAGGAAAGGTGAGAAGTGGTACGACACAGAAGATGGTGATTCGAAGACAAGGAATACACAATTTCATTACATGAAATACCAGATAGCATATAAGCCTGCCTTTACCCAGTCTTCGTTTTCTACCGTTACAATGTCACTTAGTGCTGCAGTAAGAAAAGTTATCACTGAGCTGATTGCCCCCAACCATCTAATAACAAGAATTCAGAGAGCACCATGTTGATGACTAATTGTTTGCGAATATTAAGTACTTTATAGATAGATATGTAGTTTACTTGAGGAAATAAGTTGTTAAAGGTTCTAATGTTCTCAATTTAACTGACTTATCAGTGCCTGCAAACACTAACGCAATCCTCCAACGCCCAACAAAATCGTTTTTCTTAAAATTATTCTTTTCTGTATTTTTTTTTCATTTTATTGGAAGAGTTTTAAACCTTAGGCAGGAGGTCAGCATTAGTACTACTTCAGATCATGGGTGTTAAGAGGAAATTTCTTCTTCACCAGAGAGTATTTTGATGGTTCTTTGACACGTGCTACTGATAAAACGTATAAGTAGTATACAGATGCATATATAAATATATGTTTATCATCTGCAAAAATATCGAATAGTGGAGATATGGATGTAATGACAAAAGGAAGAGATAAACGATGAAAAGAAGACAGGTCAAAGAAGCACAATACAGAGGAAATGTACAAATTATCATTTTAATATATAGTAGACGTATTTTGTTAAAATCGTACTTGGATTTGCCAATAAATACAAACGCTGCCAAATACTTTTGTTCTGTCATTAAAGCTCAATCTCTTTAGCCGAATACTGGCATGTTTTGCCTTCTGATATAGAAGTGATTGGTTCAAACTTCGGTGTGGCTGTAAGCGTTCACCTTGGGACAGTCCCAAAGCAGATCTAAATATCTATCCATATCTCCTAATTTTTATTGGTTACCTAACCGATATTGGAATAACACCATCATTTACTGCTGTAAATTGGTGTGTTTACTGGAGTGAGACTTTAGCATGAACTCCTAACCACAAAGTGTTTATGCATGCAGAATATATCACAAGCAGTGATTGCAAGTGAAATGTCAAACAAAAATTTAAATTAAAACTTAAACTTTTGAGATCTGAGTCGGAATTTTCGATCGGTTTTGATGGCCTGATTAAAACGTTGGCTGCCAAACACCTTCGACGTCGTTTTCGACTCTCGTGAATACTTAAAGTGTCTATAATCTGCTGATTCTTAAGCTTATACTAAATATGGGAAAAGACCGTAATCCAGTGTGAAATTTGTCCCAGTACATAATGAGATAACTGTTCCTGAGATATTTAAGTGTTGGTTTGTAGGGATTTGGTTGGCTACAGGATTTCATCATGATCTGACAGTGGCTAGAGAACCACTGGGAAACCTGGGAGTACTGGACAACGGCCTCGTCCTAGCTTGGGACTCTTTAGCAGTATGCGCCCACCGGGGTTCGAACCCAGGACCTTCTGGTTGCAGAGCGAGTTCGCATACCATTTAAGCCACTGGGACACACTCAACCATTGGAAAACCATTGGATCTCTAACCACTGTCAGCTCATGATGAAATCCTGTAACCAACTAAATGGTATACGAGCTCAACTTGTAACCAGAAGGTCCTGTGTTCGAATCCCGGCGGGTGCGTACTGCTGAACAGTCCCAAACGAAATAGCTGTCCAGTACTCCCAGGTTTTCCAATGGTTCTCTAACCAATGTCGACTCATAATGAAATCCTGTTCCTGAGATATTTAGCAAGACTGCCAATTTCTGAGGAATACAACTAATTACACACAATCGTCTTTGGTTATTCAACTATGATTATGTTCTTGGAGCTAAAAGTGTACTCCTGAACAGTTTTAAAATGGCTTTCAACAAACTGTTGTGCATTACCACTCGAAGGGAACAAAGAAGAAATATCATAGGAGACTGAGCTGTGTTTCGGTTCAGATGGCATTCTGTCACGCGATCCGCTGTCAATTAATATATCACTTGCAGATCATGGACAAAGGGAATAAAACTATAATCATCACTAATATGCGGCAGACGAGTACGGAATAGGCTAATGAGAGTCAAATTATTAGATCGATTTTCATTACGTAAGAATCATAATTAATTTTGAATTAAATTTTTTTTAGACAATTCAGTCACTGGTTTCCATCAATATTAGCGAGGTCATTCTATGGCTTAGTCAATAAGTCATGCTAACAGACTTTCTACCAAAGACGAGGGAATGAACTTTGACCATTTTTGTTCTGTTAACCGTCTAAAAATATCATTGTTAATGATCATAGTAAGATTATAGTGAGCAGTTTGAATTCCAGCCCACAAAATACCAGTTAAGAGTCTAAATCGTATTGTATTTATAAGCTTTACATATTTGCCAAACTGATTGTCTAACTTAAAGATCCTAATTTGAATCAGACACAAGGTGATGGAATCACGTTAGTGCTGTTGGCTTTATGGAAGGAAGGACAAAAACAGTCTCCAGTACTAGTCAGTTTCCAGTAAACCTCTGGCTCGCATCAATGACCCGAAAGAATTTTAACTTGCTAAGAACTGAGATTTTTTATTACGCAAGTGAATATTTAGAAGTGAAATGGCATTATCTGGTTTAGAACTGAGTTTGAACTATACTAAATAGAATTACTATGAGGTTATTCTATAAAACAGTGTTCAAGAATTTATCTTTCAAACAGGTGAATATTCTGCTAGTAACTGCAATGTCCAGCAGAGCACAATTGAAGATTTTCTCCAAATTGATAAACAGCTTTTGAGCACCTTTTTGATAATATGCAGACGATAACTGGACAGTATTTAGCAACCCATTTCGAAGCTATTTTTATATTAAAATAAAATTATAATGCCAACGGCTAATCATCAAACTAGTAATTCAATTTAGACATGTGAAACATCAACAATGTTAGAAAAGAAAAGGCAATCTATGCAAAAAACTTACTCTGCATGGCTCATAAACACTCATATTCACAGCGAAATCATGCAGTTTCTCTTGGAATGGACCATTGAAGAAGGCTTTACACTGAATAGGCAAACAAACAAATAAACAAACAAGTATGCAGTTGAGCAAATTATGATCGAAAAGTTAATCTTCAGAGGCCTGCTCAAACCTGAAAACCTCTGTCATTATATTGCATATAATTTCTGTTGTTCAGTCTGTGTTTCAGTTCAAGGAAATGTGACCCCATGATAGTATTATTTACTCTTGTGGGTATTTAAAAATATTGACTACCTGCCGGTTAGTGAGTTTCTATTATCCTGACTGGTAACGTATGTCAGTATATGAGATGACTGTTCATGGTTTGTGTCTTTGAGTCTCAAAATGTACGCCTGAACTTTTTTTAATTGGCTTTCAACCAAATGTCATGCATTTCTCGAAGGAGACAAAGAAGCGATGTCACAATGGACTGGTTCGTACTTCAGATTAGACAGAATTGTGTGCCGCAAATCTATTATTACTGCTACGATCACTAGTTCAGCATGTTTCTGCTGCACAACTCAGCATTAGTTATATTCGATGGAAGTGTTTGTTTTCAGAGAAACGAAACACTGTCAGTGGTCTCAGCTTTAATGACCTTAACTCTATGTAAAGTTGAGCTGCGTTTCCATTTATACATGTTAATAAATTAAAAGAAAGAGGTTAACTGCTTATATCTAAAAGTGGACTCTGAACTTTTCAACGGTATCATTTGCCGTCTTAGGCCTTTTCAGAATGTTGACCGATAGGCGAAGACTTGTGTACAGATCTTGATTAGATGAAATTACCACATTTCACTAAAGTGTGAGTTAAATAATGGAGCATAGTTCTGATGATGCTGCATTAAATAAAGAGGGGTTAGAATGATAAACAGTTTCGAAGATAAAGGAATGAACACATCTGGATCAATCAGCATTTTTGGATAGCACTAGAAGCAGATAGAGAGGTTTCGTTTCCACTCCAGGGCAGCTGGTATGGTTCTTAAAAGATTAAGTTGCTAGATTTTCCGAACTACTCCTTCTTTATCATATTTACAATCTCATCCTATCGAAATTTTAGGATGGATTAATGTGTATTCAAAAAATCTTATCACATTAACTGATAAGCCAAGTGAAGATCTCCAATAAGTATCAACGAAACAAATTTGAGTAATATCACTTCCTCCAATTACCTAGGAATCATAGTTTCAATTACAGGCGGATGACTTGAGTGAGGATGTCAAAACTAGAATTGGAGGAACAGTACAGACATCGCTCATCAATCTGAAACCAATTTGGAAACCCTTTGCCGTCAACACAAAGAAAACCAATGATGAGTCAGTCAGATCTTCTATTTGGGTCAGAAACTTAGCAACAAGAAACTCTGGGGACGATCCGAGCAAGAATATTTCAGTCGACAAATATTCTGAAAAATGTGAAGATGAATCGTAAACGCGTTGAAAGTCCATCGAGTCACATCGATCTAGGGGGACCTATATAAGAAACGACTGTTTGGGGGTGAGTCTTCTAGTGATCTGGAGGAGATCATATGGGGAGGAGATGGCATTCTGTGGGAAATAGTAGCGTCAGCTCCAGAGGACTGAGAATAACATAGTGGAATGGAGATGTTGTGTTAAAGTACTATGTTCCACTTGAAACCAAAGGAAATAATAATACAAATAAAGACACCATTGTCGATTAGTTACTCACAAGGGAGACTTGGTGCATCAACGGGATATTAAGTATGTTTCTGTCTGTTGTTCACGTCTTGAAATCTCAGTATGTCTCAGAATTTTCGTTTTTCATTATATAGTAAATATGTCTGTATAAAATACACTCTATAGTCAACGTAAAAGAAATTCCATATTAGATAAGTCTATTATTAACTTCACACAGCGATGTCATACTAACAACTGAATGACAAGGTTTCGAGCATAAATTTTTGCCCATAATCATCATGTCCATCACTGCAAGGTTTTCCAATGGTTCTCTAACCAATGTCAGCTCATGATGAAATCCTGAAACCAATCAAATCCCTACAAACCAACACTTGAATGCAAATAATTTTTTGGACAAATAACAAGGGTAGCAAATTCAAATGAATAAAACCTACCTTTGCACGTGGTTTACGAAAAGGTATAAAACTGCATAAGATACTCGACAGTTTGGCCGTCATTTCTCGTACGTAATCGTGCATTAGAGCCGATCGAACATTGCGTGCATTTGTGACACATAATTGACAAACTGAAATGTGAAAAATAGATACACACACAAGTGAATGTTTAGTTTTGACTGCAAGCAAAGTCTATGATATAAAACCTGTGAAAGTGTATTTTAATGCAGTACACGCCAAGAATTAGCATGGTCTAAGTACGACTCCTGGCTAACGCGCCCCTAAATCGCACATAACCAATAGTAAGCTCTGTAAAGAGGGCAGGTTGGCTGTGACGCCAGCAATTCCACCCCGTTTAAACAATGTCACCGATACTGGGACTTTAAAGCTCGAGTTTCAAGCCTCAAGTTCTACTCAGAAGGCACAGGAATGAAAATTCTTTTTTAATCATTGCAACAACTGTGACGAAGATAAATGGCCAACAACAACAACAGGTATCAGTCCCTAGCAACGGAAGAAATTCGAAAGGTACAGAAGTCTTTCAACTATCGGCGAACTCAACGGTTGAGGATGAAAAATCCAGAATCGGAAGACAAGACAGACCTTCGTCATTCTGAAATCAGTTTGTAAATCGCCTAAACAGCAGACCGGGCCTCAAGTTGGAGCAGAACAGGAAATGACGAGTTAGGCGTGGATTCTTGATTGAGATGGTGAAAATCGTTTGCGAAGGAGATGAGATCTTATGCGGAACCACGAAACCAGGTAAAGAAGGCTTCAAATAACAGGACAAAATTGTGATTTGCTTGTTAAGCCCTTTTTAGACTTTGAGAAGGCCTTCGACAGCATTGACCGCGAAGTAATTTGGAAACTACTCGAATACTACAGCGCACCCCAAATATTCATCAACCTTATTCAACAGCCGCTGTACGACAACGGTAGTATTCAAGTGATCCACAACGGAAAACTCAGCAAGGCGTTTGGAGTAAACACAGGAGGCAGACAAGGGTGCTTATTATCACCAATGATATTCCTATTTGTGGTGGAGTGGATTATACGTCAGACAGTGGGAAACGAGAAGACAGGAATATCCTGGGCCGACGTGAAGAACCTAGAAGACCTGAATTTCGCGCGTGGATGATTTATGTTTGATGTCACACAAAATCGAAGACTTACAAGCGAAAACCGACAAACTGGTCGAAGCAGCAGACTGTGGAGACAGGACTCCAAGTGAACATAGACAAGACGGAGGTCATGAAAATAACCAGCCAACAACAACCAGCAACATCAAGCGCTAATCACCATCACCCGGGAGGGATTTGAAAGAGATTACTTCATTCACTTATCTAGGAAGCATTGTCTCAACTACAGGAGGAACGGACGAGGATGTCAAATCGAGTGAGAATCGGGAAGGTGAGAAACACATTCATCATCCTGAACCAATCTGGAAATCTTCGTCACTCATCTCAGCATCAACAACAAAAGTCAGTCGGATTTTCAATACAAACGTCAAGTCAGTCAGTTCTTCTATACGGATCAGAAACTTGGCGGGCGGGTCACAAAGAATATTTCCGACAGCCTGTTGCAGACGTACCTTTATCAACAACTGTCAACTATCGCTCTATACTGGAGATCAGATGGCCGGGCCGGAAAGAATCACCAACAAGAAACTATGGGGGCAAACAAAACAAGAACCAATCGCCTACCACCAAATATGCAGGAGAGAGTGGATATGGATTGGACAGTCGCTGAGGAGACCGGTTGGTGACATCGCGCGTCATGCCATTGCTCGAGTGGAACCCGAAAGGAAAGCGGCGAGTAGGTCGTCGGTGCAAGGGTGACATGGAGGAGATCGTGTGAAGAGGATTTGAAACAGTATACACTAACATGGATGCAGGCGAAAAGTTCACCATAAGACAGAAGCAAGTGGAGACGTGCAGTTGAAGCACTATATTCCACTAGGAATCCAAGGGAACAATAATAATAATTCCCCTCGGATCTCAAGGGAAAAATAAAATACAATAAAATTTAAGCAACTTAAGGTGATTGGGCCAAAACGCCTTACTGCCTGATCAATTACCAGAATTTTTCGATCTGAACTACGTTAAGTTTTCTCTGTCTATCTGAAGTCCTTTAGGTGTTAAGGTCCTACTACCACAGACGTTTGATGGTATGACCAGAAACCGATCACTGTTAAACAGGTGTTAGGAGATTATATTATGAGTCAGTGTTTCTCATAATAATAGTAATATTAGTAACAGCTTTATTCCAAACGGTATTTGTGGTACAGATATGGAATTTTCAGCGTGCATTACAATATATTATTATTATTATTAGTTTCTAGTCATATTGCCTTTTCCCTAGAGTCATAGGTCTTCACCCTGTCAGTATATTTTTACGTTTTTTCTCAGTATCCGAATAGGAATCCTGTTATCAACTGTACATTGCCGCGCTTGAAATTCTGGGTATAATGCACCTAGATCCAGTTTATCTTGGTTACAATAACAAATATATAAAAATTACAAGTATTTTTACTGATCTGTACTTTATTATGCTATACTGCTTGATTCACATTCGCTCATCGCTACAATATTGCTGTGCAACTGTATTATCTTTTATGCAGTGTTTCAACGGGTTGAATACTGGACTGATAAACTTCTGTGGAAAGTCATGTGTCGCTTGTGTTGTTGTTTATCGTTGAATATGTTTTACTGTCGATAAGTGAGAGTAAAATGTGTCATTCATTCGCCAGAACTTAATATGAACAGATGCTTTGACCGCATACTGAAGATCAGATGGCGGAAAAAGTCCAGTAACATGAAACTTTGGTAATACACCGATCAAGAACCTGTTGCTCAACAAATATTCTTAAGAAAATAAAGACGGATCGGATACACAATGAGGAATCTTTGATTAACATAATGCTACAAGTTGGCCTTGAAGTGGGACCTGAATGGGAAACAGTTTTTTTTGGCGTTGTTCCCAGTGTGATTTATTTACAGTTATAGCAGTAGGAGAGTTAATATATCTAGGGTATTTAAATGTATTGTGATAATTTAGTTGACTAACCCATGCAGTATTGCAGACAGCCCAAGAAGTATGAGGTTGACTCTACTTAATTTTGTATCATGATAGATAGATAGATAGATAGATAAAACATTATTTCAGTTATAATTTTATTCTATACTCTTCCTATTAGCACTTTTAAAATTCAAATTCAAAATTCATTCTTCACTGTAATGGAAAATATAAATATGTTCAGTCTTACACGTGAGATGTCCAGCTTGGCTTACTTCACCTTCGTATTCCTGAAAAATAAATAAACACAATATCATCAGTTAAAACTCTCTTATTATCTAGCCAGTGACAAGTTTATGTACATATATAAGCCTAACTGAAAGGACACTGGAAGATATCGGAATTATACTAACATTTAAACCAAAACAAATCCATTTTAATGCTCACTGATGACTGGCTACAGAATAAATGTGCCTGGAGTTGTTGTGAGTAGTCGTAAGTACTACTGGGGTTCACCAAATCAGGTAAGAGGTCAGTCACTCGCCGGTGGCACTGGCTGTTTGTGTCCCTATCTATCTCTGATTGACAGAAGTTACGATTCATAGATAATCAGATTCCATCTCAGTGGCTGAAGATCAACTGGATCACTTAGTGAAATAAGAACTCTGGGCTCGATTCCCTGTGGGGTCAAAAGTTCGTTCGTATTGTTGAAGAAGTGTTCCACGATAGGGAGAAACAGCTGTCAAGTTATCTCTAGTTTTCAATGGTTCTCTACAGAATCCAAAAGAGAAGTTATCTTACCTTTTTGTCAAATGTTAATGAATACAGAGTGTTAGCCTGATATGATATCTGCCATGAAGGTTTCAATTAATATTTATACTTTCATGTTATACATTCATCCCCTAAGTGGCTGTCGATTTGCACTCCTAATTGTGAAACCAATATTTATCTTCTATAGCCTACCAAAGGCTAGATCATTGAATCTGTTCTCATAGGATAACTGCCAGGTTCGATAATGGCTTTTGCATCACTTTTGTTTGCAGCACATGGGAAAAGTGTCAACCAGCAATGAAAACAAAACAAAACTCTTGCAAATAAATCTGACGCTCGCTAGTGACTGCCTACACGATGAACAAGATGACTGAAGCTCTAGTGAGAAGCCTTGACCAGCGAGGTCTATTATATCAGGAGTGGTAGTAAGTACCAGCCAATGACATTGGCTAGTGGTCACGAATTTGTAGAAGTTGGACTTCATGGGCTTTTGGTTCAGATGTCAATGGCTGGAGGATTTACAAAGTTTTCTAGTAATGGGAGGTCTTGGGTTCCAGTCCCGGTGGGTGGATAGTGCTGAAGGGTTCAAAACTAGGAGAAAATAGCTATCCAGTACTGGCTGATTTTCAATGGTTCTCTAAATGATATCAGCTAGTGATGACACTTGAAACACATGCAGTTACTACGAACCAACTAACTACAATAAAGTTATGAGAAAGCAAATTTAAATGTTACTGACAAAAGGTCCAGTCATTGAGAAAGGACTATAGAAAGACACTAATATTTAGTGTTGATAGGAAATATTGCAACAAATATTCAGGATATTTTAAACTTCTGCATTTCATCATAAGAATGCACTTTTATAGAACCATGGAAAACCTTGAACAGTTTTTCTATTTCGTCTTAGTTTGGGACTCTTCAGCGCTACGCACTCACCACAAGGGGTTCGAACCCAGGACCTCCGATCACAGGGACTAGCTCGAGACCATTAAGCCACTGGGACCCGATCCAATGGCTGGCCCATGAATTCTAACTTCTGCCAATTCACACGCGTGGCGCTAGCCAATGTCATTGGCGAGTATTTGACCTCAGAAACTCACAGTCTGTGATTTAGGCCCTCGTTAGTCCTCATAATAACAACATCTAATTTCTAATGTGAGAGATGAACACTGCTCTCCTGAATACAAATGAGTATTTCTTGTACTGGCAGTCTCTGAGATTTCATTCTGGGTGCAGGTTTTTAAAACGTATTACGAAAAGAAGTCGAACGATGAGGGTAATCATAGTTACACTGTGAGGGGACAACCTCTTGCAAGAATTCGCCAACGGACTGGCTTTACAGTATTAATGTTATTTTATTCCGAGTGGAATTAGCAAACGTCTTCGTTAATTAATGTGAAACATAGTTCAATTTTTAGAGATTGTGCATTAGAAAATTTGTATTCAAAAGTACTTCATGTGTTCGCATCAGGAAAGATCATTCATCTGCAGATGACCTGAAGATCACTCAAGATCACGTGAAGAAGTATACAAGTGCCGAACTAAGACATTCACTAGTTCTCCTCAGTAAGGATACATGCATAATATCTGGGACATTCTGATAGGCTTCTTGTCATTAATGATATCAGTATAAAACGTGGGGACTGTGGTCGAGTATTACTGAATTATGGATAAGATTTTATTTTGATAAATCACACAGTGTCGTACACTACTATTAACTGATGACCACGTTTCGAGCACGAATAATTGCTGCTCATAATCATATAAAGTCACTAATCACACAACTTTTTAACAAACCGAGCAGTAGCACTAAGTAGTACAAAAAAGATCTAAATGATGAAATGAAACAGATAGAACAGGAAGCATTGGCGTAAAATAAGTAACCATCCTACAAAATTCATCAGGAATATCAGAAGAGGTCAAAAGCAAAATAAAAATAATGGTGAAGCCCAGTAATGAAAACATAAGTAGGAGAGAATGTAAGGCGTCCACGGTTATAACATATAAGGAGGGGACGTCTAAAACCCTCCCTAGGTAGGATTATCAATAAAGCAGGAATCCGGGTGGCATTCAAACCTGCAAACTCACTCAGGCAAGGATGAGCTCTGCAGAATAAAAGACTCGGTGGACCCAATTAGGCAAAATACCTTGCAATGACTGTGAGTTAAGTCAACTACATAGGTCAAACTAGTACATCAAGAGTAGTGAGATTATCAGAATGACTGATCCCACAAAGATAAGTAATTTAGAAAACGATTCAGCAATTGCACTGTATATATTGACACACAACCACATAACCGGGTGAGAGAGGGTTGAAATTCTAAGAAGTAATCTATGTAGGTGAAGAGAGAGAGACTGATTACTAAATTCTGGTTCATCAGTTTACACCCAACACAACACATGCAACAGAAATGACTCAACGAAATACCAGAGATATGGAGGATATTATTACCACCAGTCAGTCAAATCACAGAAGGAAAATAAATAATCTCAAGATTCGATTTCAATTCACATGCATTATAAGATATTAACAAGCTGCTTATTTTGACTATAAAAACACTCGTCCTATTTCCCATCTGACTGTATTTGATCAATAACACTCATATTATTATTATTTCTGAATGTACATTAACCTATGTTGACTTTTATTCAAATGTCTAATCATCAATTTCACTCGTGTATATAAATGAAGTAAGAAGTTGTGTCAGTGACTTGATATGATTATGAGTGGCAATAGTTCGTGCTCGAAAGGTGGTCATCAGTTAATATTACTGTGTAACACTGTGTGATTTATCAAAATAAAATCTTATCCATAATGAAGTTTCTTCTTAAAAGTTATATAGCAAGGAGAAGAAGTTGTTTTAACGTGATTGAAATCAAGAGAAAAAGCTGCTATTAGCATTTTGTAGTCATAAATGTCCAAACCAAGTTGATATTCAATAGTTTGGAAAAATTTGGGCATTGGGTATGCGATGCTCATTACTATAAAAGTTTAGCCTGGTGCCCAATGCACGAAAAATAAAACGATATTGTTGTTGTTTTTACTGCCATTTTGCTGTATAGTGCCGCCAATAGAAGTAATATCAAACCAGAATTTGCAATGTCTCAGTTTAAATGCACACTAAAAGGCAAGTGTTTTCATGTGAAAGAACAAACTCCTAAGGATTCACAGTCTAACAATGTGTCTATAAAATAAGATTCTTATAATGTGATGTGATATTCATAGGATAAACCTCCTGAGAAATCAAGATCGGAAGTAAATGGACGTTCTAGAGCATCTGCTGGACAACCGAGAAATCCAGTGGAAGAAGAAAAGCCTAAAAATCATCGTTCACAGTTCTACACGCTCTAGGATCAGGCAACAAAACTGATTTGGAGATCACAAAAATGTCACATATCAGATCCATTTCATATTAAATGGAATTCATACTCTTCAAATAGGTATGACGGACAAAAACAGATTTTACCTGGTTTATTAACACTTTTACAAAGCTATTAGCACCACTAAACAGCGAAACGTCAGTAAAAACGATATCGTTTCATTTTGGATTCTTATGAAAATACGAAAACGTCTGTCATAATGTATTCTCTTTTTACTGGTATCAATGATTGTGGTGACAGTATTGCTTTAGAAGACATTTTGCTCTAGAAGAGAACATAGAGGATAGCTAATTTAAGGAATAACATGGATTTCCTGCGTCATTTCTCATAAATCTGTTGAGATAGTATGGGAATCCCGTGAATGTCTGAAGTGATTGGCATACACGAATTGCCGTTAATCTGACCACCAAGAATTTCCTGTGACAAGATTCATGATACGAATGGATTGGAAGTTGTTTGTGGGAATAGCAGGATTATTAAAAAGATAAATTACATCACTTGAAGCCTAGCTGACTTCTATACAAGTTTAGACGGAATATGTGGTCACTTTGAACTTTGGGTTGCTAAACTCAGAACTTAGAACTTGAGCAACCAAACATCTCCATCATAATATAGTGTTCACCTTGTTTTAATCTATTACAACATGACCTCTAACGGTGTTTTCTACTCACGCCAATGTTTGAAATGTCTACAACCTGCTGGTGAGCAAGTTTCTACTAAAACTGAGAGAAAGCAAAATCGTCAGTGACAACATATCACACGACATGAGTTGACTGTTCCTGAGATTTGCAGTACAAACTGCTACTGTCTAAGAAATGAAACTAATAACCTGTAATCTTCAATTACACACTTATGTCCTTGATCTAAAATCGCACTCTCTCCCCATTTTTAATTGACTTTCATCAAAATGTCCTCAATTTCTCGGAGACAAATAAGAAGCATCATAAAACATTGGTTCGCGTTTCAGATCAGACAGTACTGTGTCGAGGGGTCTACTGTAAGTTGCTATTCTCCTTGAAGATCGTGGACGTAGAGAAACTAGTATGCACTAAATAATGCTACAAACTGTATACATTATATAAACAATTCATATGAACTTCGATCAAGATTTGACCGGATAGTTCCAAAATAATTGGACGCCGAGTGAGAAGTAGACATTTGTAAAAATTATATTCGTAAGAGGCTCGCCGACAGCCCACAATGCTTTTGTTACCTATTCACCAGATTTTTCATATGTCACCTGATGTCTAAATTGTTGAAAGTGCTTATACATAGTTCAAGATCATTTCGACTAAGTGTATTGGAAATATGTTGACATATGAAAACTATTCTGATACAAAACTGTGCTATGGTAGCCTCGAGTTGTTTGGCAGATCAAGCCAAAATACTGTCAGCTGTTTAAATACAAGAGTAGCAGTTTGTCCAAAAAAATCAATTTCAAAGTCACTCATGAAAATCAACCTGCTTCATGTAGAAAGCATTGTAAAGAAGGCTGTAACAGAAATAATGATAATGTTAAGTGATTCCATAATCTCAACTATAAATGATATTAATATAGATGATAATAGCTTGGTTTTGAACAGTGTTTGTATAAACATTTGTAAAAGTCCTATTTGTGAAATCTCAGCGAAATTGAAATCAGTAATTCCAATGTCTCCTACGTTGGACAAACTGATCCGAACTTCCTCAGGGATATTAATCGAAATTAACATAACAGAGGTTTATAGATAAAAAGGACATATCTTGTCTTTAAAAACTTTATCCAATCATAGGAGTCATGAAACAGGTACCAACAAGTATTATAAACAAAATTTTATGAGCCATGGTCAAAATTTGACCTGATACTTTATATATTAATCTACTTTTGTTAAACACTTTAAATAGAGTGTACTCTTAATCAAATTACGTTCGACTAAAAGTTCACGGTCGTAAATCACTGCAGACTTAAAGAAGCTAGAAAACAGATCAGTGATGGCACTGCAATCGATAGACATGAGACACAAAACTGACTTTGATAGGACTAAGGTTCTACAGAAAGGTTTCGGTTCGAATAGAAAGAGACTGACTGTGGAAGCCATACACATATGGGTGGATCCCAACAGTTTGAATAGATGTGAAGTTGTGATGTTACCTGATGCATGACGAATCCACCAATTGGCTTCTAATTACATGCCCAGACATCGTCGAAGCATCTCCACAAGAAGCCAACAGATATGTTAACCTGAGACCGAGCACTTCAGTTCAATCAATCGACGGGAAAATCTAAAACTCAGTTAAATAATACATATAGCCTATCGCACAATAGATGGACTTCGCCGCATAATGGGCTATTGGATAATGCTTAGGCGTTTGAAACTATGGGCACTGGGTTTAGGTCTCCTTGGGAATATCATTACTGACTCACTGGGGAATGCAGGAACATCCAGCTGATGACAAGTCCCAAATAGGACGAAATGCGCATCCTGGATTCCACTGCTATTCACCATCCTCCAATTAACTTCAAAAGTACACTCTGTTTAAAGTGTTTAACAAAAGTAGACTAATAAATTAATGTCTGAGGTCAAATTTTGATCATTGCTCACACAATTTTGTTTATAATACTTGTTGGTACCTGTTTCATGACTCCTATGATTGGATAAAGTTTTTAAAGACAAGATATGTCCTTTTTATCTATAAACCTCTGTTATGTTAATTTCGATTAATATCCCTGAGGAAGTTCGGATCAGTTTGTCCAACGTAGGAGACATTGGAATTACTGATTTCAATTTCGCTGAGATTTCACAAATAGGACTTTTACAAATGTTTATACAAACACTGTTCAAAATCAAGCTATTATCATCTATATTAATATCATTTATAGTTGAGATTATGGAATCACTTAACATTATCATTATTTCTGTTACAGCCTTCTTTATAATAGTTTCAGCATAAGACAGGTTGCATGGATTTTGCAATAAATTGTTTTGGATAGTAGTTCTTGACAAGGATTCTCTTGAAATTGTCCAGTTCGTCTTCCGCGATATCCGAGATGCAGATTCTACGGACCCTGTAGCTGAGTGAACGGGTAGGTTTTCGTTTGGTCTATAGAGGTACCCAAAATTGAAAGTTAGTAGGCTATCCATTAAACGTCAACATTCAGAAGACAGATCTTTTCAGTGCCCCGTCTTCTTCTCGTCTTGTTAGTTGAACATCAAGAAAAAATATTTTGGAGTCAGACTCTTCCTCTTCAACCCAAGCACCGTAGACGACGAACTGGACAATATTAAGAGAATCGTCGTCGAGAATTGCTATCAACATCAACGTTTTGCAAAATCCATGAATCCAAGAACGTAAAAGCTGCCCACGCATAGCGTCCAGCAAAAAACTATTCTACATAAGACAAGTTGATATATTTGCTGATTTTCGTTAGTGACTTTGAAATTAATTTGCTTGGACAAACTGCTAATCTTGTATTTAAACAGCTAACATTTTTTTGACTTGATTTGCCGCCAAACACTTCGGGGCTACTATAACACAATTTTGTATCAGAGTATTTTTTATACGTCAACATATTTCTGATACACTCAGTCGAAATGATCGTGAACCACGTATAAGCACTTTCAATACTTTAGACATCAGATGACATAGGACAAATCTAATGAAGAGGTAACAAAAGCATTCGTTTTAGGCTGTCGGCGAGCCCCTCTTAAGAATGATAAGACAGAACCACTTGGAACGTAAGAAATGTATGCGAACAATAATATTTTCATGATAGAATGAGAAAACTTAATTTATTTCACAAGGGTCTTCTGAATTTCATAACGTGACTGAAAGTTGCACAAAAGAGACTAGTATATTCTAGGTTCGATCATGAGTTGATATCACTTGGAGAACTTTGAGAAAATCAGAGGGTACTAGACAGCTGTCTATTCCTAGTGTGGGATTCATTGGCAGCGAGCAACAACCAGGGTTTTAACCAGGAACTCTCCGGTTAGAAGGCGAGCTAATAAACCATTTAGCCTGTGGGACGCAATCCAGTGGCCCATCAATCCAAACTTCTACCATTCAACTCAGGACCAAGGCTGTCAAAAATCAGACCCTTGCAAACGATCACTTAATAATTGAGTATTTTTGCCTTACATATGGTAACCATGTAAAACCATGATATAACTAAACAAATATTTCAAATCAACAATATAACTGATTCACCCGGATTTTGTCCTAAACACTATTGAAACATTTAAACATGACTGGCGCCCAGATTAATATAGATAAGAGAAACAAAAGAAAATACGGGATACAGTTGAATCTTACCAGAGAATCCTCACTGGACACTGTATTCAATAAGCCTAAATATATATAGTTTTATAATTCAAAATCACAATATGCATTCATAGTGCTTACCTGTCAAAAATAAGAGAATGAAAATTCTAGCCAACATCGTTTTCTACCTCAGTTTCTCTTTATTGCCAACTGCTAATTGCCACTAATCAACAGAAGGATCTGCTGTTTTTATATTTGAGTTTTAAGCAAAAAAGATTAAAATACTTCTAGTGCAAAGAAAATATTTCTAGAATGAAATTGTGTTCTTTGATCAAGTACTTCAAAAATAAATAATAATTACTTTGTATATTTAAAAGGAGATAATACTTTAGTGCAAAATATTTTATTTTTTCAGTTTCATACATTGAACTATGAATCATGAGATATGTACATTGTTTTTCATGATCACTACTAGTGATAAGTTCAATGTCCATTGGTATTTATTTTTGATTTCGCGCGGAATTTGTTTGAATGTTTAAGGGAGAATAACGACGGAGTGTGTGAATAAGGTGTTTATTTCAACATTGTGATTAAAAAATAGATACCAAACTTCAAATAACTGACGTAAATAAAACTTGTTTTTAATACGAATAAAGTAGGTATGGTTTGTAACCTTAGAACCTGCGTTGTATTATACATATAGAAGTGACTCACTTTCTTATCAACTTGAAAATTGCCACAAGTATACATCATTTTAGCAAGCCACTCTTCCGAAAAGCATAAAGACATCAGACACAAGATAGGTATCACAAATACAATAAACGAAAAGTAATATTTAGATGAATATTGGGGAGAATTTTTAAAATTTGCGTGATAAAACTTGAGACAAGATACTTTCTCCTTTGAGAATGATTCTGAGCCATTCTGGCCAATGGTCTTTAGTCATTTATTCTTATCATTCCGAGGACTCTGATTGGATAATCGACATTTGCCTACTTGGATGTGGCCAACAGTCAAAGATTTCATTCTGGTTAGTGTCATGTGTTTGTTTGACCACCATTCCCACTTGTCCAGTTAACCTACCAGTTCGGCAACACACATCAACAATGTCTTAAATTATTTTAGACCTGATTACGGAGCAAAATATAAATAAGTTGAGAAATATCCGGTTTATAAATTAAATTATTGCCTTTATAAGAGTAATGGTTCCAGGATAAAACCGTTTTTAGTTTCCTCTATGACGTTCCTTAGTGGATGTCTTCATGGTGAGTTTAGACAATGAGACAACTGAAAGAAACCATCTCGAGGCTGCATTTGTATAACAGATTTATGGATGACACTTTTATTATTTGTGATGCAAACTGTTCAACTGCTGAAGCTCTCAAAAGATTTAATGATTGTCACGCATTTATGCTTTCAGCTATCGAAGAATAGTCGAATACCGCATTCACCTCTTAGATGTTATCCCAGATGGAAGAAAGGATGGCACATAGAAAAGGTAGATCCACTGAAAGCTGAGCTTTACAGGACAATACACTAACTTCTTCAGCTGGGCACCTCTAGGTAGGAAAAGCAATCTTACCCATTTTCTATGCTCCGAAATTCGGGAAATCTTCGCTCTATGGACAATACACAATACAGAAGAGGGAAGCCTTCGCATAGCACTCTCAGGTAATGGATATCGGAGAAAGTTTATTGAAAGAAACATGAATGAAGAAACCTCACTATACCAAATCATGCTGTCAAAGAAGGCACGGTTTATGCGTTTTGTATTCATAGGTGACAGCATTGCTGAAATAATCAGAAGTCTACTATCTACGTGGACTGAACACTCGTTTTATGCCACTGACTTACAGTTTGTATTCTCTGGCCGAAATATGATTCCACAATTCATCAACGATAAACTACGGCTTATTTCT